TGTCCCCGTGGTTTTATGCACCCCGCATAATTTTGTCAAATTTGACCATTTTTTGCATAATTTCTGATTTTTTTCCTTTATCATTCTTTGTTAAAATTAATAGAATCGCATAATTTCACATTTTTGGGCTCAGTTTGCGTAATTTCAGAATTTTTCTTGCGTAAAACGCCGGGGACAGCACGGTCATAAGCAATAAAGGGCAAAGTACATACCACGACAAGTTGTGCATTTCTTTCCACCCCCATCCACACAATTTACACCATTTGGGAGGCGGGCTTCCCACCCTGCCTGTCAGGGCCAACCCTGGTCGAGAGATACACAACATCCTGACAGAAACACTGAGATACTCAGTGAAATCTTCTCCCCACTTGGGGTCGGACTCGAGTCTCCTACACGCTGCAGCAAGCAAACGCACCTAACCGCTACACCGCGGACGCCGGGCACCTAACCGTTACACCGCGGACGCCGGGCACCTAACTGCTACACCGCGGACACCGGGCACCTAACCGCTACACCGCGGACGCCGGTTTTTGCCCACTCGACACGCAGCTCAACATACCACACCACCGTCACAACACAATAGATCTTGTCCTTTTGAGGTTGGACACAGACACTTGTCACGGCACGGTGCAATTTAGGGACATATGAAGTTAGGAGTACGACGTTGTGCTTGTTCATTTGTCTTGCTTCCGATAAAAAAAATAATAAAATACCCATCTATCCTGAACACAAGTCGAGTTATTTGTTATTGACAAAGCTTGGGATCTAAAACCCCCCCCCCTGGATTTTTCCTATACAAAACAAAACTATGCTCAGTTGGGGGCACTAACCAAGTACCAGTACACGTAACAGACACATACTGTATCACTCTCTGGAAATCTTTACGTTTTAGTACAGGTTTTACAGCGCTTGAAACTGCATAAGGTCATATGAGCGCCAGAAGATCAGAGGTGTTATAAGAGAGTAACAAACATAAAAAAGAAGGAGGGGAGATAAGGACGATAG